TGCCTCTCGTCTTATAGTTAGATTGTTAGCTCTTTTGGGCTGGGACTGTCTTTGTTCAGTGTGTACAGCATCTGGCACAATGAGGTCCTGGTCTGAGACTGGGGCTCCTAGGTGCTACAACCATACAAATAATAATGAATAAAGCACTAGACTGGGACACAGCAGATCTGGATTCAGTTTCCAGCTCTGCTACACTCTCCTTGGGCAAATCACTTAATCTCTCTCTGCTTCGGTTCCCCATCTGTAAAATGGGATAATAATCCTACCTTTCTGTCTTGCCTATTTAAATTGGAAGTTTCGCTGGAGCAAGGACTGTCTGTCTGTTGCCAGCAAAATGGGGTCCTGATCTCAGTTGTGTCCTCTAAGCGCTACTGTAATACTAATACCACTTCAGCTAAATAATAGTTCTGAATATTGATTTGTATTGATGGGATTTCTGGAGCGTCACTGTTCAGTATAAGGCAGGGTTGGTGGGGAGAATAAGAAACATGGGGTTATCCACATATAAAGTAAGATCTAGCTCTGTAAAGTTATGTCACTGTGGAAGGATAGAAAGCTGTATTATGACTTTCCACTAGAGCTGTCAAATGATTAAAAAAAATTAATCGTGATTAATCGCAGTTTTAATAGCACTGTTAAACATTAATAGAATACCATTTATTTAAATTTTTTGGATGTTTTCTACATACTCAAATATATTTATTTCAATTACAATACAGACTACAAAGTGTACAGTGTTCACTACACGATTATTTTTTATTACAAATACTTGCATGGTAAAAAAGATAAAAGAAATAGTATTTTTCAATTCACCTCATACAAGTACTGTAGTGCAATCTCTTTATCATGAAAGTGCAACTTAAAAATGTAGAATTATTGTTTTATTTTATGTAAAAAAAAAATTCTACATTTTTAAGTAAAAATAATTCTACGTTTTACTGCACCACAGTACTTGTATGAGGTGAATTGAAATTTGTTTATCTTTTTTACTGTGCAAATAGTTATAATAAAAAATAATCATATAAAGTGAGCACTGTACACTTTGTATTCTGTGTTGTAATTGAAATCAATATATTTGAAAATGTAGAAAATATTTAAATGTATTATAAATTGGTATTTTATTATTGTTTAACAGTGCAAGTAAAACTGCAATAAATCACGATTAATGTTTTGAATTGAGTTAGTTTGTTTTGAGTTAATCACTTGAGTTCACTGCAATTAATTGACAGCCCTACTTTCCACTGTATTGGTTGTCTTGAGTACACATCCATTGTATTATTTTATGCAGTGCAGAGAAGTACACTTAGTTCTATGTATATATCACATCAAAGTGTTTACCAATAATTAGCATGTGATAGAGCTGGGAAGCTGAAGAGCACCCAGATTGCATGAGATTCCAGGCACTTCAGCCAGAAGATTTATTTCCAATTTGTTATTCATAAGGGAAGAGCGAGAGATTGGGATAAGGGTCCTTTGAAGTGAAAACAAAGTCTTCTGTTCAGCCTGCAGCTTAATAGAATACACAGAATACTGGCTTGGCATGGTGGCCTGTTTGCTTTCCAGCACTGTCAACGCTGGTAGGAATGGGTATTGCCCTGAAAAAAAAACCCTCATTATTTTGTGCTTTTTCTAATATGACAAGCCCTGACTAATCAGACAGGAATGATTTGGGGAAACAAGATGACCAAATTGTTGTGTGTAGTTATATTGGTAATAATTCAGTGTATTTATAGTATGTTAAATGAACAAAAGTTTTTAAAAGCAATGTGATTATTTCACTTACTAAGGCCTTGGTCTTGCTAACATTATGCACGTGTTTAAGTTGGTCTAGTGGCTCTAGAACGGGGAATCAGGAGACGTGAGTTCTAATCCTGGTTCTGCCGCTAACCTGTTGTGGGAGTTTGGGCAGTTGCTTCACCTTTTTGTGCCTCTGTTTTCCCTCCCACATCTATATATGTCTATTTAGATTGGAAGTTTTTTGGGGGACAGGGACTGTCTATTATGTGTCTATACAGTGTCTAGCAAAATGGAGCTGTGATCTAGATTGCGACCACTAAGCACTACATTGATACTACTGCTAACAGTAGTGAGTGGTGCCGCTTAATTCAGTGTTTAAGCTGAGGATATATGTATTTGCAGGAACAGGGCCATAGTTTTTACATCAAGGCATTTGTTACCCTTTTCCATGAGTCTGTTGATTTCTGTGCTTAATTCTGCTTCAGTGATACCAAAACCACCTTGGGTTGATTAGGTTCAGTCTAGAGAAATGGGAAGTCTCTTTTGGCCTTACAAGCCCATCTTACTGCAAAGCCCTGTCAATTAGCTGAGCCCAGAGCTAAAGGAGTAAACATGGGACCTTCAGAATGTAAGCTTGGTCTGCAAAATAAATTTAATTAGAACAAACACATTCTAGAAAAAAAGAGATGGTCACTTGCCTGGTTGGACGCTTCCCCTTTTTGGTCTCCCCACCCTTCGGATTGATGTGTTATTCCCCATCTCTCTCTGTTTTGCGTGTGTGGGTTTGGAATGCCGTGTGAATCACAGAAATCAGAGATGGAAGGAACTTCATTAGATCATCTTGGCCGGTCCCTGCCAATTTAGAATTATTCCCTGCAGTAGGATCTTGAATGCCTTCTCCAGTCTATTTTTAAATGGCTCAAATGAGAGGGCTTTCCTCACTTTCCTAGGGAGACTGTTCCACAGTTTAATAGACCTCGCTGTTAGGGAATTTTCTTCCTGTTATCCAGCCTCCATTCGGCTTTTGCCTAATTTCATTGAACTGTTCCTAGCAATGCCCCACAAAACAGTTTTCCACCCTGTTCGGTTCTTTGCACATACCTGTTGTCAATTATAACCATAGTCTATGGGAATTAATCACCATTTGCCCTGCTTGGCTGGGTCTTTGTTTTTACATAACTACACTGCAGAGCCAGATGGGTTCTTTTCAGCACAGCTTTTCATCCAGAATCGCTTTTCTGAGAGCAACGCAGCTTGTCAGCATGTGGGGGAACCTCTGGATTAATTCATAATTTAACATTTATATAAACACACTTTAGATTGCATAGAGGAACTGAATAAGACCTTACAGAAACAGCATAAGTAACCTAGACTCTCTCTAGCTGCCCATAAAAGCTTAGGACCTGGGCTTATGGTAGACCCCTAGCAGTCTGCCCTGCATTTCCCGGCTCATTCTCCAGTAGATCACCCTGGGGTCTGCTGTGTTTTGAATAACAGACATGAACGGTTCAGGATACCAAGTTTTAGCGTATGAAGTTCTAAAGATATGGAGGGAAAATGGCAAAAGTCCATTTGTGACTTAGACTTATGTGTCCCTAGAAGTCACTTTGTCCCTTAGGAGCCTGCATCACTATTGCAAATGTGACTTAAGCTCCTAAGTCCCTTTTGAAGATTCCACCTTTCATCTTAGACATGCTCTCCAGCAGGGACGACTTGCATGAAAAACTGCACGTGCCCACATTGTGTGCGTTAATCATGACGAGCATCCTGAGATTTTGGAGCATAATGAATCCACTGTTTTGAAGAAGGAAAACTGGCCCTCTGCTGTGGATGCTGTCAGTTTAGAAACCCACACTGGAAAGCATCCTCCAAATCAGTAGGAAAAAGAATGGCTAGCATGAGAGACTGATCCTTAGTTGTTTAATAAAGCAGGGACAAAACTATTTAGCTATGGCAAACACTAATCAACATCCTTATTTGTTGTTGTTAAGTAGTTTGATTTTGCCCCATACAGATAGAACATAAGCATCAATCACACAGAACAACCAAGTTCCCAAGGAGAATCTATAGCTAGCATTATATGCAGAGTCACCCAATGACAGAAGAATGCCAAGAGCCATACTGGGATGTTCTCATACAACCAATCAGGAGCCCCACACTGATATCACTGGAATTGGGTTAGTGCTGTTATCTGGTGGTTTACAAGAGAATTTTGGCTTTGCAGCATAAAGGTAGCAAGGTTTTAAAGAACATCCATAACTGTATTCTTGTATAAAAGAGGAATAATGTCACAAATATAAAGCAATGTTGTTGATTTCGATGATAGCAGCAGCTAGAAGAGTCTAAGATCAGGCCCCCATCCTGCTCGGCACCGTACTTGAACCTAATAAAAGTATAGTCCCTGCCCCAAACAAGTTACAATGGAAACCGAAAAGATGGAGATAAACAGGGAGGTTGAGGATGAGAGGGAAAGGGACCAGTGAAATGATTCTATTTGGTATAATAAGCAGCCAGCCTGGCATCCCCACAGTCTGTTCATTGCACCCTCTTGCTTGCTAATAGCAATTTCACTGATCATATTGTATATTTGACTGGATTCTTAACGCTCGTTGCATGGAAAACGCCGTGCATGTCAGTGATCTGAGCTCTACATGTGTGTGTAGAAATGATGAGATAAAATAAATGGATTGGAGCATGGTGTGTGGGGAGGAGAACAGCACATGGTCCCTAATCACAGTGGGTAAAAAATCAGGGACCCACCTGCATTGTAATATATTAAACCAGGAGTGATTTTTAAAGAAACATCCTGGAGGGGTGTGAGGGAATAGTTAATATTTTATTAAGCTAAGGACTCCTCCTCCCCACCCTCCCAAACAGGGATGTTAGGCACATACGGGTTGGAAAGGCAGAACTGATATCAGTTTTTGTATGGGGTTTTTTTCAGTGTTCTGCTTTGCATTGTTTTATTTGCCAAAAAGAAAATAAATTCGTGAAATATTTGCAACTCGGCATTGCTGCAGACTTAAGTACATACTTCGCGAATCCCTGTAAGCGATTTGCTTCAAGCCCTCTTCAGTTCTTTCTCACTCCATCTGCTTGTTCGAGTGCAAAAGTTCCTTGGGAAAAATCACTTATTACATCACTGAAAAATGCCGCAAAAATAGCTTTTCACTCGAGTTCCCATCTTTGGACTTAATTCACATGGGGATCAGATAGATTCAAATGTTTAATAACTTCTTATTTTCCTTTCTCTTTAAACACAGGATCTCTGGTCGTGGAAGCAGGGTCACGTGGTTGATTCTTGGCAGTCGGCAACCTGTGGAGCTTTTGCAGGTGCAAAGGATTATATGTTATACTGGGAAAGGCTCAAGAAGAAAGGGAAAAATGTGCAAATCTATTAAGTATAGCAGAACAACATTCCTTTGTAATTCTAGTTTGTTTAGAGGAAAATGGATCCAGTTGTTATTTGGAAGAAGGAAAGTCCTTTACCGGGTGCGGGGAGAGAACACTGAAAAGGGTGTCGGCTTGAAAGACAACCAATTTGTTTTTGACAAATTTCTGTTATTTAAAAACCAGGGGCCTGTCAGTCAGGCTTCCAGATTATCTTGGAGTTGATTTGTAAAATCCTCCACGAGGAGAGGCTTTGCTTGGGTGCGGGTCTGTGCAGCTGTCTGCCCCAAGCTGTTCTCCAGGGGTTTAAGTGATTGCAGGGAGAAGCCATGATTCACCATTCATGTGACAGCTGTGACAGCAGCGCAGATTAAGGAGAGTCAGGAGAGCAGAGGATAGCACTGCAACAGCCCGGAGGCAGGACGAAACATCTGGGCAATCTCCAGACGCTAACACAGGAATAAAGAATGGCAGAATACAATATCGCACTATTTATTACCAAACAAGCCAAAAGTTAATTGAATTCTTCAGTAGGCCTCTTGGCCTCGTTCAGCCTACTGTAGATGTTTAAAATAACTTTTAAAATGTCAATTAATTAATGACTCATCAATATATTTGACAAGTTACAGAGAAGAAAAACAACAAACTGTCTTAATAGAAAAACCAGATTAGTCGTTAAGAGATGAACAGCCAGAGCTTTTCCCAAAGGAAGTAAAATACAGTTTAAGATTCCAAATTGGTAACAGAATATATGGAAGGAATAAAACCTGTTTAAAAGCAACAATAGCGTTTCTGAAGCTGGAGATGAATAACAAATAGCTTTTGGCTTTGGTAATCTGCTGATGTACCAGAAAAGGGCCTTTAGATTGTCTTTAAATCATTAAAGAATAGGGGTCTAAATATCTCTTATGTACGTAATTGGATATGAAGTTTCTGACCTTCACGTATTATTATTAGTAATGTTGCAGTGGAAATCAGGTCACCAATCAAGCCTTCTCTTGTGGTATTAGGCATTGTACATATACATAGTAAGAGACAGTCCCTTCTCTGAATTACTTACAGCTGAAATAGATCAGACAAAGACTGATTATCCCCATTTTACAGATTGGGATCTGAGAACTGGTCCACACTCAGATTTTGCACTGATTTAGCTAAATCAGTGCAAACCCTTTAATGGATGCAGCTATATTGACATAAAAGTGTTTACATCCAAAACCAACTATACTAGTATTAAAACTTAAAATGAATCAATATAACTCAGGCTTGAAAATTTACATCAACCCAGCTACATCACTCAGGGGTGTGAAAAATTCACAGCTCTCAGCACCATACTTAAGCCGACCTAACCTCTGATGTAGATGTGGTTAGGTTGACAGAAGAATTCTTGGCCTGGATCAGTGCTAGGGGTTGTGTTGATTTAATGAGATCTGTTTCTAAACTGCTATAGTTAAATGGGTGCAAAAACCCCTGAAACACAGAGGAATCATGTGATTTGTCCAAAGACTTCTCCCAGGAAGTCTCTGGGAGAGCTACAAATTGAATCCCGGTCTCCTCTGAGTCCTAGTCCAGTGCCTTAGCCACAAAATCATCCTTCCTTGCCTTGCCCATTTGATTCTGCTCAGGGTGGTTGTGACTGGAATTGTCACCACCTACTGGCTTTTTGGTGACCTATGTTCACCTCCTAGTGATCACGTGTGAAAGAAAAAGACATCCAAGGACCTGGTCCGCTGAAGTGTCCCCAGTTTCCCCTGGACTCACTGGCAGAGCCATAAATGTGAGTCCAGGACACTCAGCATTTCACAGTGGTCAGTCAGGACCTCACAGGTTTGGGTCTGACCGTCTGGACCGGCTCTGCAGAGGCGTCCTGTTTTGAATGAACTCCCGTCAGCATTCCGCATGGGGTTTCAGTGCAATTGACTGCAGCGGAGCTATGCACTATGCATAAAGTTAAGCATGTGCGTTAGTCTTTGCTGGGCTGGGGTCTAAAGTTTGTTGGGTATGTTGTAGCAGACGGCAAACTTCCCTTCTTGCACACTCTGCCTTTCCCTCTTTCCTCCCTCCTGTTTTTTCCTCTTTTCTCCTTGTTCCTTCCCACCAACAATATTTCACACAGCCCCTTGTTTTAAGACCAGCTCCAAAACTCATTGAGATGAAGAGGATTCTTTCCACTGACTTCACCAGCTTTCGGATTAGGCCCTTACTCTTTTATTTCCTCTCCCCATCTATAGACATGTAATAGGAGGGCATCATATGGTGATCGAATCAGACATTGCCTCCAATGTCAGCTCCTTTGCTACAACGAGCAGTTCCCTGATTCTGAAGTCTGTAAATGATTCTGCAGCTAAAACATATCAGAATAAACTGCCTGCTTGAATTTGTAAACGTAATCTATTTTATGAGGAGGTCGGGGGGAGAAAACCCAAATCTAGCCACAGACGCAAACCCTCGGTAAATAAAACTGTGTGTGTATATTGCACTAGAGTGATTGTAATTCACCACATTATAACCTCTGGAAAGGGAGAAAAAAGGCTTTTATGCGAGCAACAACTAACCCGTAATCACTGTGATGTTACCAATACCACAATGATAGTGTTGAGACACAGAGAGCATGTTGGACTCGTACTTCCCTTGTGTTCTTTGCTTCACCACAAAATTTGACCAAACACTTTAGAGGTCGGGAGAACAGACATGGTGATAAAGCCAACAAGCTGAATACACAATCCTTTTTTGGCTTCTAGTTCTAGACAAATTGTTGGATATTTTCTACCTTAATCATAATTTACAGTTTGGTGGAGAGAAGACAGACAGCATCAATATATTGACTTCCATCCAAAACACCTGTTCCATTAACACCTGTGAAATTGCAGCGACTAAAGTAAAAGATCTGTGAGAGACCTGACTGTCTTTCTTATTGTTTCTGCACGTTCACATTTTTACACATATGCAATCAATGCACTTATATATAGAAACACAGTAACCATGAGCATAAATGTAAATGAGACATTGAGTTCTTTCTCTGCCAGCTGTTAATAATCTAGTCCATAGGTGCCGTGTCTTGATTCATATAATTTCTTCTTCCTTTCTGGCCCCTTGGCCAGAGATACTGGTTAGAGCAGCCTGGGGGCTGCTCTAATCCCAACAGACCTTCTATCAGGTGAAGAAAGTCAGAGTGCAACATACTCAGGTCAAACCTCAAACTCCCCCCACCCCCAGCACATATTCTATACTAAGAAAGGCAGGGAATGTAGTGAAAATGCCATCATAGATGTCTATGCCTTCTAGAGAACTAGCGCATGCCAGGGAAGTCTTTGAATAGCACAAAGGGAGCAGAGGGACTGAGAGTCTGCCCCAGAATGTCAGGATTCAAAATCAATAGGATGGAAAATAATACTAAAAGCTGTTGTCCTGGCACCTGGGCTCCCATTTCATTCTGATGAGCTCGTCTTGCTGAAGATATAGCAGAAATAGAAGGGGGGGGTGTAGAGATGGGTGATGAAAATTATTAGACTTATAGGCTTCCATCTGAGAGAAACTGAAAATACAGAGATTCTTTTGTTTAGAGAGGAAATGAATGAGGGGGGACACGATAGAGCTATCTAAAACAATGAACAGTACAGATAGGGAGGATGGACCACTAATGGTTAGACCTCAGTGCCCTGGGCCTGTCTGTCCAGTGTCCCATCTCCAGCTGTGGCCATCTCTGATACTTCAGAGGAAGGAGACCAACCCCGCCCCCCCCAGAATACATTGGGGTTCCTTCCTGACCCCTGCAGGTGGCCGACTGAAACCCTGAAGCATGAGCTTCTAGGAACATAAGATGTAAATCAGGAGTGAGCCCTGCCCGCTACCATCACAAGCATAGAACTGCAGTCATAAATTTGTCCAGCTCTCTCTTAAAACGAATTACGTTGTTTGCCCCGCACCTCCTCTGAGGGGGCTGTTCCAGAACCTCAGCACTCTGATGGTTAGAAACCTTTTTCTGTTTTCCAGCCTGAATTTGTTCATGGCCACTTTATATCCACTTGTTCTTCTGCCTCTGAAGGTCTGAGCCTTAGATACTACATTAATTTGGCTCTAGAAGAACCTTAGATGAACAAAATAAATCGGGGCTCCTATTTACCCTTTCCCATATCACAGGAACAAGAGGACACTCAGTTAAATGGAAGGTCAACAAGTCTAAAACTGATCAAAAGAAACACCACAGAATTTAACCTGTGGCGCTCACTGCTGCAAGAGGCCAAGAGCTTGGTAGGACTGAAAAATCTGGACAATTAGGCTGTGTCGACACTAGAGAGCTTAGTGTACCAATGCAGCTGCGCCTCTGTAAGATCTCTCGTGTAGCCGCTCTATGCCGACGGGAGAGAGCTCTCCCATCAACGTAATTAAACAACCCCCCACGAGCGGCAGGAGAGGTTAGTACTGTGCACACTAGCGCTTATGTCGGCGTAATTTACGTCGCTCAGGGAGGTGGAATATTCACACACTTGAGCGACGTACATTTTGCCACCGTAAGTGATAGCATAGACATAGCCTGTTAGAGATAATGGGAATGTGCAGAGTTACAATAGAGAAGGTAACATTTTTCAAAAAATAAACCACAAGCTCTAAACCTCCTGTTCTCGGGGAGGTCTGATGGGGGTTAGGAAGATGATTCTCCTATGGGCAGATTATTCTATCGTAGTCCAGTAGCAGGCTTCTTGCTGGGACTAAGGGATAGCTCAGTGGTTTGAGCATTGGCCTGCTAAACCTAGGGTTGTGAGTTCAATCCTTGAGGCGGCCATTTATGGATCTGGGACCCAAAAAAAAAAAATAGTTGGGGATTGGTCCTGCTTTGAGCAGGGGGTTGGACTAGATGACTTCCTGATGTCCCTTCCAACCCTGATATTCTATGATTCTATGTCTAACTGGTGGTATCTGGGATTGACCTCTGTCAGAGGGTGGGT